TTTTTTACGCTCAAACATTCGCGTATAACAACAAAAAATGGTGCCGTTGTTGTAAAAATGGTTGGGCGGATTTTTTGTTTGTAAAATGATACATAAAACACGAGAATTTGACAACAACCAACTTCTATTTCATCAAATAAAAATAAAAAACAACGAGACAAATCATAATTGAAAAGAACACCACGATTGGCAGACTCGAACATCGAATTGCAGTTTAGTGGTCGATTAAAAGCCGTTCCTTCGAAATAGTCCTGGCTGCGTGGACGTCATTTCGCTCTCCGAAAGAGTACACCAAAGTTGAAAAAGTACTCACGCCTAAAAGCGAAAATCTTCAAAAAATGATACAAAAAACTCAGTTTGTTCGTTTGTTATTTTGAGTAAACAACAATATTATTATCACCATTTATTGACAAACAGAAAAAATGAAATGATTGGCTAAATGACTTTAACTTCATTTGTGTTTTTGGTTGTGTTATTGGAAAATAGTTTAAATAATAGTAATATTTATTAAACATCCCAAAAATGCTTTTTTTTCATAGGAAAATAAATAAATAAGGTTTCCAGACTGACTTTATATAAAAAAATATCGGTGTTAAACAATACAATTTATTATTAGTTTTTTTGAAATAAAAGTTTACATTAATAAAAAAGATCAAAAAATAAAACGACAAATGCATTTTTAAAAGAAAAGAGATCACATCCAATTCAGTATAAATATAAAATCGTTTTAATTTCATCGCTGTTTTATTTCTACAGTCTGTCTTTAAACGTTATCTGGTACCTTCTGGATCATAAATATTGAAATATTTCGGGAAGCCCTTACAAAAATCTATTCTAATTGTTTTGAGTTTTTCACATTTTACCTAATGCTCGATGTTTAGACAAAATTACAGCTTTTTTATGTCCACCAGATATCGTTTGAGACTAGATAACGTTGAAAGACTGACTTTAATGAAATTTAATTTTTTTTTACATTTAATAAAAAGTATTAAGATTATCGTTTTTTAATATAGATGTTACATTTCAATACGTTTTTAAATATAAATCTGTATGTTAATATTTTTAACATTATGACAATAACAATATTAAAATCATAGTTTATTTGTATACGATGTATAATAAAAACGTTATTTACAATTGATTATTAAATTGATTGTAAATAAAATAAAAAACTTTTTAATACAAATATAACAAACTGAAGAATGTTACAAACTTTCCAAATTATCTTAAAGTGATTTTCTTAAAAACAAGTATTTTTATATTTGATAATTAAAACCAAAAAAAACAAAGAATTAAATTATATTTCAAAAGTCGACGAAGCCAAATTTATTTTATTTAATTTATTTTTAATACAAAACATTATAAAAACATTACAATCTATTTATATTTCAACATTGATTTTCAATTCTAGTATATTATAATTAGTTGTATTCTTGTTTTGCTATTTTTAAAAACAATAACAATATTATGATCATTTAAAAAGATTGTTATAATGATATTTTGATCTAAATATAACAATTTGATACAATTACTGCAGTTTTATAGATTATTGCAAAAAATAAATTGATTTTACAACAAACATATATATTTATTGAAAATGGTTATTTATTGTGTTTACTAAACATACAACTTTTTTGTTATATATCAAATAAAATTCTTAAAAATCAATGATTTACCATAATTATCTAATCCAGAAACTTTGGACACAAACTCTAACATATCGAATTTTTGGAATTTTTTTCTACTAAAATTTGATATGTTTATAAAAATAATAATTGATTTTATTTAAAATAAAAATGTGTAATAAATATTATGCAACAAATTGTTTTGTGTTATCTTAGATGTTTTTTTTGTATCATAATTATTTTTATAATTACTACAAAAATATCCAGTAAAACATTCGATATTATTACGTTTATTTGATTCTTTAACTACACTGTCATAAAAATAAAATAGTTTTTAAGCAAAACAAAAATATTATTTTTGAATTAAAATAATAAAAGTTATTTTCAAATGTTTTAAAACAAAATGATTGTTATCATACATTTTATTATAATGACTAAAATAAATAAAATTTATTTAATGTTTGGCACACCCTGAAACGAGATTATTCAAACAAAGAATAATAATTATCGCTTTTTTATATTTTTAGTGTTTTTGTGTTGTTCAAAATGCTCAAAACTTGTGTAATAAATAAAATATATCATTTATTTATGTATAAAATTGATAAAAGTCAATGTAGTTTGAAGTTTTGAAACAAAAATGTTATACATAAATTCCTTTTTTTATTGTTTTCAAAGATAAAACACTTTAATATAATTGGATGTATTTTTTTAAGAATTGAAAAAAATTTGAAACGAGTTTAAAATAGGAATTAAGGTGTTATGTTTTTGATTGAATTGATTTTGTACTAATCGATAATAATACTATGATACTAATATTTAATACAAAGTATTATTTTTATTAATGATTGTTTTGAATTGTTTTATTATTATAACCAGGCATTTTTATGTTTTTATGTTTTCATAACCACATATATTATTGTCTAAACATACATTTGGTGAACTTACAACTGTTTTTGCAACCAATCTTTGTTAATAACATTTCAAAAAGTGTGTAGATTCATATTTGTTTTGTAATATAATATTTTAAAAAATAAACTATCCAATAAACTATTA